AAAATCAAGTAGATCTATAAACAAATGAAAATCTTGAAAATGGACGGCGTAGATAATATGTTGTAAAATGCACTATTTCTGAGACTTAAAATCTTTTTATTTTTCATAGTCATACATCTTGATTTCGAGATGATCAATCAAAGGGTTTTTCAACATTAAAACTTCCTTTTTTGATGGATTTTTTAGGGGCATCCGTAGTTCTACATTATAAGGTTGCATCCTTATATAAACTTTTTACATATTAAAGAATGAAGGTGTGATGCCATTCCATTATCAAATATCTTGCTAGTTTATGTTCACACTGTGGTTATTAGGGACCATCACCTCTTTTCAGAAAATCCATTATAAGGTAGCATCCTTGTATAAACTTTTTCCATATTATAATCTATTATGTAATATTAGATAATATTGTAATACAATAGTTAAATAATTTGTAATGCAAGGAATTGAAATAGGAAACTTTTGGTTTAAAATTTTTATGAAAAGTGATATGGTTATGTTTTTTTATTCTGCAAAATGTGAATTATAACTTTAATTATTTTTTTTTGTAAAAAAAAGATTCAGAACAACTGGAACTTTACTTCACGAATAGCATAGGGAAGGTTTCAACTATTGGATTAATGTTGCAGAACTCAAAGCTGAAAAAGTTTGCAGAGCAGATTCATGCTTTGGAGGCAAAATTACAAGACGCAAGCAATGAAAATGCAAAACTTAAAGTCAAACAGAAAGAAGACTCAAAGCTTTGGAATGGATTGGATTCAAAACTCTCTTCAACTAAGACACTATGTGATCAACTCACTGAAACTCTGCAGCACTTGGCTGGTCTTGTTCGAGGAGGTAATGTTTTCTATCAGATGTTTTGTGAATATTGATTCTTAATTTTCCAAACGTTCTTGCCTACATATGTACATCGAAAATTCTGGGGAAAGGTAACATATTAGGATGCCGCTTGTTGACAATACTTAAAGCTGATGAGGTCTGCTCAGTTTTAGTTTTCTTGAAAATGATTGGGTCATTTCAATGTATTACAAAATAGCGAAAGCACTATCTTTAGAAAGAATCAGTTTATATTCTTCATCTGGTTGGTATTGCTTGTGCTTGTTACTGGTAATTTTATTGATTCTAGAGAATTTTAGTATTGTAAAATACGGAAAATATGGGAGGAACAGAAGAAGAAGTGCTTTCAAATATTTTCTAATGGCGGTGTGAGGCCTGAGGAGAGGGGAGTGGGTAACCTTGTCCTTTGAGTTCTGAAGTTTTCAGATTCATGGAAATATAGAAATTTGACTCAAATTAGCCCTGCCTTGGTTGGCGTGCCCCAAGACGGTCATGGCTGTCCCAAGCCAGGGTAAAGGAGGAGGGTTGTGTAGGGCAGCCAACATAAAACTTTAACGAATCTTGTCATTAATCCTGAGCTTATGAGTAGAATGGTAGAACAAGATTCATGTAGCCAACCCCAAATAGTTGGGATAAGGCTTAGATGATGATGATGATAGAAAATTGACTCAAATTGACAATATCATCCCAGTATTGGTGCATAAGTTACTAATATTGGTTTCTTTATACTTTCTTGTGTTAGATGTGCTTTTGTCGATGACAAAAGTTTTGGATGGTGTATCTATTGCTCTTGTTCCTTTGGCTTTGATTTTGATTTCAATGATTGGCTCAGATATGAAAATAACCTGTTGATGTGCTTTTGTCTAACAGCTGAGGAAGATAAAAAATTCTTTGAGGATAAGCTGTTAGAGAACTCAAAAGCTTTTGATGGTTTGCATTTCCAATTGAAGGACTTTTCTTTGAAATTGGATTCTGCTGAGGAAAGAATCAGACATGGTGAGTTCTCTGTATGACTATTCCCTTCTCATATACCAATTATTAGCAACCAGCATCCATGGAACTTCTGTGCTTCCTTAATGATGCAGTGCAGGGGTGCTGCCTGTTTTCCATTTTTGGTTTGGATAGAGAGTCTTGAGAAAAGCTACACATTACATCGCATTTCTTTCTAAAGTCGAAGCCCAGATGCAGTGTTCTTTGTTTGCTTAATGCATGATACTCCTGGTCCTGTCAGATTCGCTTGCATGTGTATGTTCTGTTAGTTTATTCCTCTGCATAACTAATTTGATACTGATTGATATGAATGGATGACTTGGATGTAAGAAGTTGGGTTTATTGGTTGGGAAATCTGAAATTTCTGTTCAAACCATGAATGGCTTTGCACTTCTATAGAGAGATATGCACATGTTGTTATAATAATATTTGTCTTTTTTGATTTGGAAGGGAAACATGAGTTGGACACGCTCAAAAGAGAGAAGGAAGAAATGGAAAGATCTTACATTGATGAGCTTCAATCGAAAGGCATGCTTGTAATCGATAAAGGTAAGGATGAATCACTCATATGATACATATTCGCACAAGCTAGAGTAAGTAGTTGCTGACAAGGATTTTGCAAAATTATTCAAGAATCTAGATTTTACTATAGTGCTTGCAAATAATTTGAGATGGATTTGTGAGTGTTGCCTTAGGTGGATCCTCATTACCAAAATGCCTCTTGACCTTTCAACCATGACCTTTTCCGATATTTCATATTCTATTGATTTTCTCAAATTGGCGTTCCTTTTCCATATGTGAAATCACTGATGCCTTCTATACCAACACAACTTCGAGAAATTTAGAATAGCTAGGTTTGCTTTAGAATTTGAGGGAGGGAGGGAGCTTATACAATGCTGCAACATTTTTTCTCATCTTCAATATGTTATTCATTAGGGTTCCTGAGCAAGGATATTACAAAGCCCCTACGCTTTTTTTCAAGTAGATTAGGAGTTAGCATTTTGAAAGTATTAGTGGTGTGGTGTTAGTGGAGGGAATGGAAACCACAGCATGGTGACTATGGTGTAGGGGTGCCACCACCATGACCCTTGCCCCTTCCCAAAAAAATTCAAGGGTCAGATGTGGGATTTGAACCCACGCCCTCTCACAAGGACCAGAACTCGAGTCTGTCGCGTTAGATCACTCGGCCATCCTGATGCTCGTGTCCAAAAATTAAGAAAATGCATTTGAGGGGAATTGAATCCTCAATGCAAAAGGATAGAGGCAAATATGCTAACCATCGTGTTGGCCAAACGCTTTCAAGTTTGGGAGTTAGTTTTTTGAACGTGTTAGTGGGGTGGTGTTAGTAGGACTGGAAACCACAACGTCTTTATGGTAAACATATACATATAATGGTAGGTTGTAACCATCTATGCGATGTCTATGCAGCATTGTGTGCATTGTTCCATGTGTGAAACTGCACTGTTCCATATATTTGATCTTGTTGTTTTGCGGCAAATTACATCCTAAGATAGATCCTAATTAGAGAATGACTATAACCTGCTTCTAGATGTCAAGGCCATTCATGCTGTGGCAAAGAAAACCCTATCTGCTTCTTGTGTATATGTTACGCTGCTGTTCATGTTAGTTTTATGTAACTTCTAACTGTGCTGTTTTGTGTGTTTGTTATGACACTTGTTGCTAAAATCATTTTCTTTTGGAAAAACGATATAGATGCTGCCATCAAACAGTTAGAAGCAACTGTTACTGAAGATAAAATAAGCTTGCAGAGTCTTGGCTGTCAGCTTCAGGACACACAGAAAGAGTTAAGCATGAAAGATGATGCATGTAATAGCCTCAAAGCCACCAACGGTACCTTAGAGGAAGATAAGATCAATCTGCAGTTTAAATTCCAAGATTGTGAGAGAAGGTTACTGGAATCCAGCATTGAGTTGAAGAATTTCAAAAACGAAGCAAACAGTTTGGCCAAGAAGATAGCTGAGCTTGACAAAGTCAGCAGAACAACTTCAGATTATGTCATTCAACTGTCCTCTTCTTGGGATACTTGTTACAGTATGGTTCAACAGGAGAAGTCCCTTACTGCAAAGTGTGCCCAACTCAAATTTGACAAACTCCATGCCCAGTTTGTGGATGTAACATTGGCGAATGGAGTATTGCGTTCAGAAGTGGAAGGTCTGTAACTTTCTTGTTTTTACTTACATTATGTATCAGTGATCTTTCTATCTGCTCTTTTTTATTGTCTGACTGATTCAAATTCAAACTTCTTCCAGGCTTGAAAAATCAAATCACAGAGCTCCAAAAATCCAAAAGGGCCCTGGTTCTGCAGCATGATGAGGCAAACAAGTTGGCAGAGGAAAAAATGCAAAGATCTCAGCTTGTTATTGAGAGTCTTACATCAGAGAAGATTGGGTTGGAGGTGTCTATTACTAACTTAGAGGCTAAAGGTGCAAGTTTAGCTGAAACTTTGGGTGAAATTGATAAGCAAAAGGTAAGTTGGGATTTTAGTTGATAAAATGAGCTCTACTTGTTTATGTTTATGTGTGCTTTGTAGTGTCATGTTTGTCATTGTCACATGAGCGGTTCTCAAAACCTGGATCCACAAGATAATCTCTGGGTTTATAATACCATTGGTACAAATGTTTTGAAAGGATATTTCTCCTTCATCAAATTCTCATACTTTGTCTATGAATCTGAACCTTGCATGTTCTGGTTTTTGATAAATTTCTGGAATAACCTCTTTGAGTCTGAAAGTCGAAACATGCTTATTATCTTTTAAAAACTTCTTGGACATGTGGACATAAACTAATAGAAAATTATCCCTCCCTTTATCTTATCGTTTTTCTCCTTCATTCACTGTGCATTATACATTTCTTATGTTTGTTGCTGATGTTATATTTTGGAAAAAATTGCATTTGGTGTTGGGACAAATTTTCTAATAATTTAAGAGATCTTATCTACCTGAAGTACCAAAGCGCATGTAATCTCCCTATATGTTGGTGAGATCTCCAGCTCCCTTCTGATATTTTCTTAATAAATGAAGTATGGTACTGAAAGAGGTAAGCACTGAAAATTCCCTATTATATGATTTGAAGGACACTGCTCTCCTCACCCTTTTCCTGACCAACTCCACCCTACAACTGGAAAATTGTGCAGCCCACTTAATGTGGATTGCTAATGTTCTCAAGAAGTGATATGATCAAACTCTATTTTCTCTGAGACATTTCTCAGGTGTCATTCAGATCTTTCTCTTCCTTATCTCATCAACAAATGAATTAAGCAACTAAACATTCACTTCCTCCAAAAACGAGATTGCCATATTTTTTATTTCGCCGTGTGACATTGGCATTATTTTGTCAGTTCTTATTGGTGTTCCTTCCAATTTCTGAAAGATATTATTCAATTTTCTAATGCTGAGATTGAAAGATCTAATATCAAATTGAAATATCTGTAGTGACATTTTCCTATAATGTACAGCAAGATTTGGTGCTTAAAATGTCGCAATTGGAGTCACAGAATCTAGATATAAAAGAAAAGGCGGAGTCTATGTTACATGAGAAGATGGAGGAAATTGAAACTCTTCAGAAGGAAATTACTGAGAGTGGTACTCAGGTTAAGTCACTGGAGGATCAAATACGCAATCTCCTTCAAGCTTTGGATGAGAAAGACCAGCTTCATCTGCAGTTTCTAGAACGAGAGAAGCATTTGGAAGATCAGAGATTGGAGGTTTGTAAATTCCATTTCGCTGATATTTTTGTGTTGTATTTGTTCCCTTTCATTTTCTTGTTTCTCGAATTAATAATAACTCACAATATTGGATGTACCTTCAAACGAGATTTGTATTTGTTGATTCACATGGAAGGACTGAAACACCCACGTTCTTCTCATAAGATGCATAAAACAGCCCCATCTGTTTATAACATATATTCCAATTAATCCTTGTTTTCCCAATGCATTAACTATATTCCTCACTGCTGTAGTTTCTTGATTAAAATATCCTAAGTTCCCCAAAATAGCTTCTCCGAGTGCAGTTTCTTTAATATTGTGTTCAGGGAGAAGAAGAAACCTATGACATCTATCATTTTCATATTATAACGCATCAAAATTTTGCAGCATCAGAATGTTTACTAATGCCTCATTGTGCATATTTTTCAGCATTGCTTTTGGCTTGATTAGGGCTTCTTATGTTTTTCTATGTTACACTATCGAAGCCTTGTTGGCTCCAAGAGTGTTTCCAACTTCCTCCAATAATGATGTGGACATGCTCTCTCTGTCCAACTATGACCTCCTCTCTTTATTCTCACTACTCCCCCATATTTCTTTGTTCTCAAATCAACCCTTGATACTAAGCATTTTAGACATTCTAAGCATTGTTGTTTCTGTGCTATGTGAGGACTTTCATCTTTTTCACCATTTATTATATATTTTTAAATATTTTTTACAATAATCCTCAATTGAGCAACTGCAAAGTTTACCCATCTTCTGTAAATTAAATTTTTTTTAATTATTTACTTTATGGAACTAGAAAATCACTTCTTATTTTTCTCTTGAATTCTTTTGATGATTTGAGATAACTCTATGTTTTCTCATTTATTATTCAATTTTTTGGTTTTATTTAAATTTGACAATGCTAGATTTATTTGTAGTATTATAACTACTGCAGCATTATATAATTTTCTCTTTTCATTTCTACCATGTAGTGCGAAATACTTCAAATCTTATACGTGCATAGAGATTTTGGTAACTCTTGGTGTTTCTAGTATTATTCCTTCAATGTTCTTGCTCATGAAAATACAGGCAGTTTGGGTTATGCTATATACGATTGGTGGTTCTAGTCTATCGATAGAAAGACCTTTTGTTATTCCCCCATTGTTTCATGGATAATGGAGGCCAGGCTTTTTGTCTTGAGCAAATTGTTTGGGCTTCATTATTAAGAATAACAGTTAACAGACAACTGAGTTGTACAAGCTCTGTCCTTTCAGATGCAGGCGTCACTTGCTGCTGCAGAATGCTCCCTCACAGATGCTAAAAAACAATATGATTTGATGCTAGAGGGTAGACAGCTGGAGCTAATTAAACATTTGAAGGAAATATCTCAAAGAAATGACCAGGTACTGGAATGTTGTATCATTCCAAATGCAACCTATCGCATACCATTTATTTTGGAAGCTAATGTTGCACGGTGTAGGAAATCAATGACATCCGAAGGAAATATGAGATGGAGAAACAGGAGATCCTTAACATGGAGAAAGAGAAGGTCCTTTCTTTTCCTTGCATTTATGAAGTTATATTGTATGAAGTTATACTGTACATTTATGTGATTCTATTCATTTTGGACATCTGTCACTCCTTGGACACGATTGCTTCTTCAGGCAGCTAAACTTCTTGAAGAAATGGAAAGAACTTGTGAAAAAAGAATTGCAGAAAATAAAGAGGAAGTACAGCACAATCTACAGACTTTTCAAGAGGAACACAACTCATTGGTAACTCATGAAATTGTTTAGTGTATGGGTTACTAAACTGAAGTTCATATTTCCTGTTTTCAGGAATTTGGACTCTGATATTAAATATGTAAAAATAGAATATGGACTTGATGTTCACATCCTGTCGTGCTGATATTTGTTTTGGACTTTCTGGCGGTGTAATTAAAGAACTTCTGGCATTATTTTGTGGTTCTGCATAACTCTCTTATTATTAGTTAATCAAAACTTTAAAACTATATTGGTTGCGCTTTCCCTGTTTGATGTTGCTTTTCATGTGCAGATTAAACAAATTCAGCAAGAGTACAATAACAAAGAACTGGCTCTTAAAGCTCAGAAAAGTGACGAAATAAAGAGATTGCAGATTCACTCTGAAAATGAATTGAGAGAGGTTCAGTAGCTCTACGATCTATCTACATTATGCTGGAGATTTTGTTTGCACTGACGGATTTTTTTCTTCTGATGTATTAGAAAACCATGTTGCTGAGGAAAGAAAACGAATCTCAGATAAAAGCTTTGAGACATCAGCACATGGATGAACTTAAAACACTCCAAGAGGAACTTGAGCTTCAGAAGTCAAAGGTATTATCTGCTGTAGGAATGTCAAAGTCCAGGTTGACCAAATTAGTGTTGTGACACTAGCTTAATAGCATAACAGAAAAGAAAATCCTACAGATCATGCCTTATGTGTTCTCTGACACACAATAACATGTATACAAAGCTTTTAGGCCAAACCATAGTTAGCAGCATGCAGTTTGGTATATGTTTTTTGTATCCTCTTTTTGTTTTTTTCAAAATGGTGGAGATTTTTTCAAAACTATTTAGGACTCCATTTTCAAAATTCTGGCAAAATATTATGGTTTTTGGGTCACATCATATTAATCTGGTATTATATGCTTTGTTCAAAGAAAAACTTATTTTTAAAAAGAAAAGAAAAAAACTGTGTTTTGTTACCTTCTTTAGAGTTGAACTTTTTAAAACTTCTCTTAAATGGATTTGAACTCCCTGATTTTTGCTGATTATATAAACTTACTAAAAGATTAGATTTGCTTAAGGTTTCTTTGCTTATTAGATTACTCACTAAGGGATAGGATTTGCTTAAATATTCACCGACAATTGGAAAAGTAATATACTTAAAAATTGTGGTGGCGATGACCTCCCCCCATTGGAAACATGGATCAAATGCTCTAAAAAGTAAAATTCAAGGATGAGCTAGGTTCGTGTCCTTTTTTTCAATGGAGGATGATATTTATCCTCCCAGAGCATTATTATTGGGAAATAAAAATTGGGTTTTCAAGATTGAATGGCTCAGCATGGAGTACTCTCTCTCTTTCTCTCTCTCAGTATTTCTATTATTCCAAATAATCCATTTTATCATATAACTTTTAGGCTTTGATTGTTTTGTATTCAATTTACACATGTTAGTGTAGTGTAATGTTCATATCTGTTTTTTCACTCCCTTTTCTTTTGGAGCCAAATCCGACCTATCTCTGAATTTTTAACAAACTGAAATGTTTGTTTTTTATTCGAATGGTTCGGGCCAAAATAAATCAATACTGATTTATTTGTTTACCAATATATTGTCATTACCCATATCGCTAAACAACCTTTCAGCAGTTGATTAGAATCCCCTGCTTATTTAGCATTTTCATCTTGAAACTCTGTATTATTCTCATTTATACATGTTTCTTCATAGGAAGAAAAGCAGAGGGCTTTGTTACAATTGCAGTGGAAGGTAATGGATGACAATCAACAACACGAGGGTCTTGAAGTGAACTCAAAGAAGGTAATGCAAGTTTCTCCCTGTCAAGTATTTCCTGATCCACTTATTTCTAACTAGTGGATGTTAGATTGTATTGTATGACTAGGATCTTGGCACTGGCTGGTAAAGAAATTAACGAATCACAGTTGCATTATTACATTAATTACAATTGGATTGATCTTGATAAGCAATGCCTTTCTTGGGAGAAATAATAGAATGATTCTTAGGATTCCATGTACGCAAGTGTTGAAAATACATTGCATGGGTTGCTTATATGGCGCATGTTCCTTCTAATAAGATATGTGGTAAAGAATGACAAAGTTGAGATTCGTAATGTTTTGATAGAACAAATGGTGCTTGAAAGATAATATGATCTCATTGTCTAAATGAGTGAGATTATTAGGGAAAGGTACATGAACCATGATTGCGCTGATTGCTCTGGCTGACTCAATAAATGGGTACCCGTAAAAATTTACACACATAATGGGTCGATGACGATGATTATCCTTATTATAGAGCTATAACTGAGATGGTAACAGTAGCTCTTAGAAGATATGAAACAAAGACGTGTAAAGGCATATTGTTGTAACTGCTTGTAATTTTCTTATGTTGTAAAGTATGAAAATTTCTTGTTGAGCATTCACAATTTGTAAAATGGCCAGACAAATACGCTCAGGCTTAACCCAATGCATGTCCTATATGCAAGGGGCGGTTAGACGGACTGTCTATTACGATAGTCGAGAGTTGATGAATCTTTTCAAGACTGGAATTTACAGAATATCCATTTTCGTTAAACAGGGTCCTTAATATAATTCTTAAAGTCTGTTGATTAATATAGTTTACTCGTGAAAAGTTCATCTCACATGGTTCTCCACCAAAACATTTGCTCTCCACTATAAAAATCCTTAATTAGCATAACTTGGTCACAGACCATTGAGTATTTCAACTTCCAGAAATCAGGTTTTGCAAGCAGGTTTCTTTCTTTGTATCGAGCACTTGAAATGCCTACTGACTGCTTTAGTTTGTTAAGAGACTGATGATCATACAATTGTAAGTGTCAAAAGCAGAACCAATTGGGTCGACTGGTCAGACTGCCAATCGGACCCAAAACCTGGATCTTGGAAATACACCCAACTTTGTAAATCTTTTTAAATTTTTTAGGGTTTGACGAGTTTTCATTATCCAACCAATTTGATGACAAGTTGAACTGCTAATTTAACCAGAACTGACACTTCTGGTTTGCTGCTGGTATGGATGCATGGAGTAAAAAAAGTTTATTTGAGTCCTGTGAATATAACCCATATTCATTCAACATGACAGCATATGGAAAGGGATCAACTTAGCACATTACAAACTTTTGTGGAGAATGAGAACTATCAAGATTTTCTGATGAGAATAGATCTTGATTTCATGAACAGGAATACTCTGTTTCGTCAATCAAGAAGAAAGATAGTGGTGGTTCAAAAGGACACCATCTTGATACGACGAGACATAACAATGAAGGGGAGGTGGCTTGGAATCATTTATAAGTGTTTTTTGTTAATTTTAATTGTTTCAATAAAATGTTTAAGATTTTTATTTTATACAAGTTAAAGAACTGGTATGCTTCATGTTCTTGATCTTTTCCTCTTATATTTGTTCTGTTTAGGTTGTGAACTTTATGGGATCAATGCGCACACCTGTCCTGAGTTTATCGCAGAAAGTAGAGAAAGGCAAGGGTGAGAATATAAGGAATATTCCTAAGCATAGGAAGGTGAGCCTCAATCAGCATGAAATTCTTGTTTGTATGGACCATGGATTTGAGACTGGAAAATAATTTGATTTAGGGCCACATAATATTAAACTGTGTCACCGTGCGACACCTATCTTGTTATTTCTATTCATTTCGTGCGTATGATCTTTTTCTTGTCGGTTTATTTGTACGCCTTTTTTCCTACTTTTGGAGGTTCTCTTGTGGCAGGTGACACGGCATGAATATGAAGTTGAAACCACTAATGGGAGAACAATCACAAAGCGCAAAAAAACCAAGAGCACTGTCATGTTTGCGGTATTCATCCACTTACCTGATCGCATTTTGATTTGTTGAAATATTTTGGACTTATACCATAGATCGAGATATGTATCCTCTAGTGTCTTTTGCCTTTGCTATATCAGGATCCATCAACGCATAAAAAGATGAAAATGAGGACTCCTAATACTGAGAAGCATTCAATGACACTACGAAAGGTACTGCATGATACATACTTTGATTTTAGTGCATGTGGAGGTTTTGAATTTAGTGTAGGTAGATATGAGCCTCTTAGAAACTCACTTTTTTTTCCCTGCTATGCTACCGGGTTTTGCGTTGTAATCTCACCATTTGTATTAATACTGAGAAGCATTCAATGACACTACGAAAGGTACTGCATGATACCTACTTTGATTTAGTGTATGTGGAGGTTTTGAATTTAGTGTAGGTTGATATGAGCCTCTTAGAAACTCAATCTTTTTTCCTTGCTATGCTACCGGGTCTTGTGTTGTAATCTCACCATTTGTATTAATTTGTGAAAGAATTTACATTTTCCTCTTTGAATACTCGGGGATATTTGTGATATTTGACAATATATTGTGGAGATCCACCAAGATGCTTTTGTCATAAGGGTGATGAATGTGAGCAATATTTGTTAGCTCTTGTTGTTTTGTATATTTGAGGCAACTCAATCTTTCATATCCTAGAAACTTTAACTGTCAATTGGCTTTATTCATGATCTTAAAAGGCACACAGTCCCTACTTGCCATCTACCAAAACCAAGTTGACTCAGGGCTTGGGTGAGTCGACGTGGTGAACTCTGGATTTCAGAGATAAAATATAATATTATAAATACAGAGTTGAGATATTTGAATTATTTTATTAAATAGACAGCCAAAGGCATGCTTTACATTTTCTGCACACAAACCAAAATCATTAGTACAAATACAGTGGATATTGTACAATGCACAGTGAATGTTGAGGTCTAAATGAACCTATTGCAGCCCCTCTCGTCCCTTTAAATAAGGCCTGGAACTCAGAGCTTTGGATCCCAGGTTCACCCCTTTGGGAAAAAAAAAGAAAAAATGAAGAAGAAGAAGAAGAAAAAGAAAGAGAGGGAAACGTAGCTTGAGTTTGAAAATGTCTGTTAAATTAGACTTGAAAACTCGACTGACTTTTCGAAAGAATTGATTAAAACTGAATTTTGCATGTTAAAAAGGCTGACATCTTTCTGAACCCACTTGCCTTAGGTTTACTTCTTAAACACTGCTTCATATGTAAAACACCTGAGTTTTCATGGAAACTCCTCCATCTCTTAGCTTTTTTAGTTTGTTTATTGCACTTATGAGAGTCCAGTATGCCAGTGATTAATAATTAGCAATGATTTATTTTGTGTGAAATTATGATGAGATCACCAGCTGCTCTCACATCTGAAGAGAATTTTTAAGGGTAATTAATTTGGAAGAAACTATTGGAAAACAAACTAAAAGAGGGTTTGGTAAGAGTTTTTGTATTGGTATGCTTGCTAAATCATATGGTTATCAGCTATTGGTTACTTATTAACGTTCTTTAGTACATGGACGCAATCTGGTAGAAGGGCCTAGGATATCAAGTAGTGGTTGGGATTCCAACCAATTTTGCGGTACATGATGATTAGTTTCCTTTTAGTTTCATATGCGGTTAAGGATGGCTCATGTTGAATATACTGCTCCTTTAGGTAACTGGTACACCTCGTTTAGTGCACTATATTGAAAATTTTAAAGAAATTGAATTGGTAATTAGGAAGAAAAAAAGTGGTATGGAATATTTAGAATGAGCACCTTTGTTTTAGAAATTACTTGGCGAATCTTGCAGTGACGCCCAGGATTGCCTATAATAGTTAGAATAACTTTCTCATTGAACAGTGTATGATCAGATATGATTATCACACAAGTTAAGGACGAGAGGTGATGCAGCCCAGAATATTGGTCTCAAGTATCTAGACAAGAGAGATATGCTTAACGTTTACAAGAGGAACCATAGAGAGGCAAAGTAGCCATTGAGTATATCCTTTCATGTCTTTTATTTATTTCTTGAATCTTTTCACTTAGGGACATAAGTAGTAATTTCTGTACTCTTTTATGTCTTTTTATTCACTCTCGTTTCTAATAAAGAGCCATGATTAGATTAGAAGGATGGTCATGATTAAGTCTTGTTTAGAGTTTTTTTATATAAAGGATGTACTTAAGCATAATGGCTGATCTTGTTATGGATTTTTATTTATAACCCTAGAGCAGTAAGTGCTCCTTTTATCTCTAGTTTTTGAATCTTTCTCTATTTCTAGATCTTCCCTATCTCCTTCTTTGCTAAAACCCTAACTCAAGGTACTAGGTCTGCACCAAGAGGTGATGTTGAATATATTTCTTTTGTAGGTACTACGATATCCTAGATTAAATGTATTAGCATCATCATCATCAGAGCCTTATCCGAGCTATTTGGGGTCCGTTACACAAATCTTGTTCTGTTTTTTTGCTCTATTAAGGGCCATACCCTTAATAAGACCGTGAGTTACCGTATATTTTCTTACTACTTTCATCCATGTCTTTTTGGGCCTTCCTCTTGCTCTTTTAGGGTCTTCTACTTGAACCATATCGTACTTCTAATCAGTACTGTATTGGATCTGCACTACACATGGCCAGCCCACCTAAATCTACTTTCCCGCATATTGTCGCCTACTGGAGGCACCCTTAGGTTCCCTCAAATGTATTCATTATGCATTCTATCCTTTTTTGTCTTGTCAATTATCCATCTCAACATTCTCACCTTAGCTATACTCATCCTATGGGGTATGTTGTTTATTGACTACCCAACATTCCATCTGGTAAAGCAAAGCTGGTCTCCCAGCTGTCCTATAGAACTTCCCTTTCACCTTCATTGGTATGCGGCGATCACATAAAACTACGGTTGCAAATCTTTACTTAGCCAACTTAGTTCTAATTCTATGTGTGACATCTTTCTCAATCTCTCCATTTTCTTGGATTATCGACCCAAGATATCAAAAATACTTTCTTTTAGGTATTTCTTTGCCATCAATCTTAGCTATTTCCTTGTTTCTACTACTATTATTATTAAACTCGCATTCCATATATTCTGTCTTAGTCCGGCTAATCGTAAAACCTTTAGATTCTAGAGCATCCTTCTAAAGTTCTAACTTTGCATTGACATCACTTCTAGTCTCATCGATCAAAATTATGTCATTTACTAGCAACACATACCACGGTACATCATCTTGTAGATGCCTAGTCCATAATTAAAATAAAGAGATATGAGCTCAACGCTAACCCCTGATGTAGGGGTATTGTCACTGAAAATTCACTTGTCTCTCCACTAGTTGTCGTACACTAATTAACTCTCCCTCATACATCTCTCTCATCATGCCAATATAGCATCATGACATCCCTCCAAAGTTCTAACTTTGCATTGACGCGACTTCTTGTCTCATCGATCAAAATTATGTCATCCGCGAACAACACATAATACGGTACCTCATCTTGTAGATGCCTTGTCCATAATTAAAATAAAGAGATATGAACTCAACTCTGACCCCTGATGTAGGCTTATTGTCATTGAAAACTCACTAGTCGCACACTAATTAGCTCTCTCTCATACATATCTCTCACCATGTCAATATAGCATCAGGAGACTTATTTATTTTCCAATACCCACCAAATTAAATCTTTAGGTACCCTATTTTAGGCTTTCTCTAAATCAATGAAAATAATGTGGAGGCCTTTTCCCTTCTCCTTGTACTTATCAATCCGTTGGCTAAATAGGAAAATGACCTCAATTGTTGACCTCCCTTGCATTAATCCGAATTGGTTTTCTGATACACTCGTTTCATGCCTTAGTCATTGCTCAATTACTCTTTCCCGCAGCTTCATAGTATGGCTCATAAGTATTTTAGATTTAATGTATAAAGGCCAAAAATATTGATTGGCACCTGTAATGCAGGCTGCATTATGGCTTACTCTAAGCAGGGTGGGATATTTGTTTTTCTTCGATTTAAATAATCCCTAGTCTAAGAAAGATATGATACTGTTTCTGTTTCCTTTTGTGAGATAAACAAATCCATAGTTGGTCTCACAATTTAAACATAGTTTTGATAAAAAGAAAAATATTGTTATAGTAGTACTTGTGGTACTTATTAGTGCCTGTGATATGCATTTAGTGAAAAGTAGGAAATGAAAGCCAGTGGTTTAAATCTAAGTTATTTGTTTCCTATCATGACTGTATATCACGTTCTGTTTCATTTTTTTGTTAATTTATGTCTAATCCCTATTCATGCTATTGAATTGAATGCTTCCTCTAGAAAGTATTTGTAAAAGATTTAGGTACTTTCCGTTTGCCTTAACTGTGACTCTGTGCTCTTCATATTAATGCTTTTCTTTAAGCCACATGTCTTGCTGAACTGAACTGAATTCATTGCAATGTAGGGAATCAAAGATGATCATCCAATTTCCTCACCTATTGGTGACTTGTTCAAGGAGGGATCTCTGGATCCTTATGCCGATGACCCCTATGCATTTGACTAAGGTATTTGCACATTCAGCAGTGTATATCTTGTATGAACTTGAGTTTAGAAGAATTCGACCGGTCTCCAGGAAACAGAAGCTTTTATTAAACTGTGTCAAACTCTTGCCAGAAGGCATAGAGATAGAGTTCTTTCCACAAGAGCAAATTGTGGCACTTGAAAATGAAATGTTCCCTTTTTGCCTATGAATTATTTGATTGGCTCCCTAAAAAATTTCAGAAAGTTGATTTTGTTTAATCTATATATTGACTTCATTATAGGAAAAGCTATTTTTCCTTTTACTTCTTTTCTTTTGCTTCTTTGGCATTGACATTGACGATTTAGTTGGAGATACTGATAATAACTTCTCCTAAATGAAAGAAAGGTTAGTTTATCAAAATCATTATAGAAATTGTTAACAGTATTCAACTTGCTATATTAATATATTCTACTGTATGATTACTCTCGACACCTCTAGTATATGGTGATGAGTATCTTTTATTTACTAGGCGCTTACTGTTCAATTTAAGGTCTTGGCAAACAAGCAACTAAACATTTGTTTTGAATTGGAGTACAAAGGATACTGATAGCACCATGAAGAATATGTTTCTTATGTTGGCATATTGTATCCTACAATGAAGAATGGATGGCTACTACTATCTGAATCCCTAACTAGAGATGTGCAATATCACCGGGGGTAGCTGCATAGCTTTCTCTTACTTTGCAAATAACTTGATGCGGCTTGTGTCAAGACTCTAAAAATGAATGTAACCTCTAAGAAAAATGCAGTGCCTGATGGTGGACGAACTTGTGTATAGGCATTAAGCCCATTTGAAACTTTCACGACCTATTAATTGGAGGTCAGATGAAGATGACCTAGTCTTAATTATATTATATATGATAGGAGTCTTGATTTGTGCTGTGCAAAGGTCTCGTTAGAAATTCACTACAAACGAGAGGTTCCTGGTTACTGAAAAAATTCTCTCACCTTCTGAACTGCATGTGACGCCTATGGTTTAATTATGGTCAGACAAAGTTCTCCAAGAGAGCTTTTCTAGGTGGTCACTTCGTAACTTTGGAGTGCATGATTAATAGCCTATAGATGACACTTAAGACTATCTTGGCCAAATTAGACAACAAAACCTAAAATGAATCATAAATAGATAAAACAGAAGAGTTTTGATGTCTTTCACAGGTTCTCACTTACTGGGTACCTTTTGATAATATGCCACTACGTTTTTCGTATAACATAAAAATAGCTAATTATGTAAACAAAAAAGCTCCTTTGCAGAATTTTGTTGCCATAAAAGCTCCTTTGCAGAATTCTGTTACTTTCTTATGTAACATCTCGGTGCTCTAACTGGTTAGGTGAGGTAGGTGCTCAAATGTTGCTAGCATTTGTTGCTGTTATATTAATTCGATTAGTTGGATTGCATAAATTTCTTGTTATTTTCATTTATGCCATTGAAAATCTGAGTTCTTGCATATTTTTATGTCAATTCTCTATTGCTAAAATATTTTGTGCATTTTCCATGGTCCAGTGCAGCTTTTTTTGTTTTCGGCATGACAATAATCCCCTCAGAAAGCATGGTATGATGCTCGAAAGCTTTTCTTTGTGAAGAAACGGCGCTGTTGTATGAATACCACGGAATGACTTTGACATCTGTTGTTGGTCTCATGCTTCAGGTCAGAATTGAAAATTCCCTAGGAATATCTCTCTCCCTCTCTCTTCTCACACACATATGCATGTGCTTTACTGTTTGCATGCTCAAATTGCCTCATTCAATTCTTTGCCATCCACACATATGTTAGTAATTCTCTCTCTCTGGTGCATACATCCCTTGTCTGCCCACCGGGCGTTCGCTTCTGTTCACCTTGTATATTCTATGTGTATCATGTGTAGCCTATTTTATATCCATATTGGCCCAGCAATCCCATTTTTTGTTCCATGTAAACATGTTTCTGTACACTGTACTTTGTCTCTCTGTGTTTGTATGCCTATGGTTTGCATGCATAAAGCATGAAGATAATAATGGCTTGAAATATCAGATTGGAAGTGGAAATGGAGGCGGTTGGCATTTTGTGAAGACTAAGAAGATGGTATTCAATATTATAATTGAAGATTTCAGGATCATACGAGAAGGTATTATTGGAAAATGAAATCAAACAATGAGTATTGAAATGACCGCAAAGGGGAGGGAGCTGGGGTTTTTAAATGAATTTGGCACTTTCTGCCTGCATTTGATGGGGGTCTTCATGTAAGAGTATGTTTCTGGTCACACGTCAATCATATTCAATACTTCATTGAACCTGTGTAATTCTCCATCTTATGAAAACTAACTAATATGTGCTCCGTGTGATGAAGCGTGCACGCAACAGAAGATGGTTTTAGAGAGAGAAGGGGGGTGTTGCAACCCATTTCCAGGTCTTCTAAGAGAGAGAACAAGTAAAATTATACAATGAGACCTCGAGGTGGTCACAATTAATCTTGACCATTGGATGTGAAATTGGGTAGCTGTATTTATTCCATTGATCAAGTTCAAAGTTCAAAAGAAATTTTCTTGGACTTTATGATAAATTCAAGCTATCAAATTTGACATCGGATGGTTATAAGTAATTGTGACCTCTTTGTACAATAGATAAATGGTTTCATTGTATACGAACCCAAATAATAAAAGATGGGGTTGGGATGCTGAATGAATTTATGTAGCTACAATACTTTAGTAACATTTGAGGTTATGCTTTTATTTTTTAATTTCAATTAGATACCTTGCCAATAAAAAAAAAAAAAAACCTAAAAGGGCCATTATTAGATATTTAGAATACTGAACAATCATAGGCATTTATGTAATTTAACCCTTGAGAGGTTTCAGTTGAATGATTAGAATACCCCTAGTTCTCCGGTACAAATCATGAAAATATTATTTGTATTAGAAATGTAGAATAATTAGGGTTATTTTTATCATTTTGCACTTAAACCTTTGCATGTATTAAATTACAAAAGTATCCTTAATTGTGCCATATTATTAATATGGAACGCACTATCCAGTGTTTGTAATGCGTAAACAATTGGGGGTATTTTTGTCATTCGGTTGAGATTGTTTTAGGGTCAAATTATTGAAATAGCTCTCACTGTTCGTCAATCCAACTACTGGATAAGGGCAATTTGGGTACGTTTAAATTTTTATTGGAAGATGTATCTAAGTGAAATAAAAAAAAGTAAAATATACCCTTAGATGATAATAGGGATAATTTGACCCTTCAATGATTTTTTAAGGTTATGGTTTCTAAGATATTTTTATTTTTGTTTTGATATTTAAAAATTGTTCCATATATTTCATATTTTACAATAAAGTCCCTTTTTAATAAGATAAAATGTATTTTAATTTGTTTTCTTTTATATACATTTTTTAAGCTCAAATTTGGTATGTCCATGTTTTTTACCATTATATATCAATAAAAATATCAAAATAATAATTTAAAATAAATAAAAATTAGTTATAAGTTAATTTTATTTATTTTAAATTATTTTTCATATTCGTAAGAATTGTATGATGGTGAGTAGGAATGATACACCAAATTTGAGCTTAATGTATCATATAGAAAAAGAGATAAAATGAAAATGCACTTCATGTTCTCAAAAAATGGGATTTGATTGTAAAATATGAAATACATGACATTATCTTTTAATATCAATAACAAAATGGGAGTTATATATGGGTGCGGTTTGTATATAGCCTAGGCTCTAAACAATCAAATTAGAGCCTACCTTTAAATAGTGTCGAGAAATATGGTTTCAATACTAGAAATCTTTTTGATAGCCTTAAAATATATTTTCATATTTATTTATAAAGTTTAAAACTTCAAAAATAATGTAGATCGAGAGATCTATGAAAACTTGGAAATTTTGAAATTTGACGGTCCAAAAGTGGGTTACAAAATACACTATTTTCAAAACTTGAAATCTTTTTTGTACCATGTCCATGCATCTGGATATCGAGATGATGAATTTGAGGATATTTGGGCATCAAAACAATATCTTCTAGTGAAATTTTTGAGGTAGGCTCGAATTTGATTGTTTAAAGCCTCGGCTCTATATAAACTTTTCCCTTTATATATAAATTCTCTTAGGGTCAGTTTGGGTCATTGGATTCCAATTTCCAGGAGTCAATTTTTTTGGAAAAGCTGGGTCAATCTTGTTTGGTTCATTTAGAATTAGAATTGACATTTTTTGTTGGAATTGAGATTTCGTGGGATTCATGAATGTTCATTTTGAGCTTAAATTTTGGAAATCTCAATTCCACCAAAATGGGTAGATTTGACATTTCATGGAAATGATCCATTTTGTTGTTGAAGAATAAAAATAAAAATAAAAATAAAAATAAAAATAAAAATAAAAATAAAAATAAAATTTATATTTTAGAGAGAGAAACTATATCAAATTTTATAGAATGAAAACATACTAAAATTTGAGAGAGGGAAACTATATCAAATTTTAGAGAGTGAAAGTATACGAAATTTTTTAGAGAGAGAAAATATACAAATTTTTTTAGAGAGAGAAACTATCTCAAATTTTAGATAGAGATACTATCTAAAATTTAAAGTTTTAGGAGATCATATTAAAATTTTAGAGAGTAACTATCTAAAATCTTAAATTTTACAGAGAGAAAGTATATTAAAATTTTAGAGGGAGAAACTACATTAAATTTTACAGAGAAATTGCTTAAAATTTTTTAGAGAGAAATATCTCAAAACATTTAGATTGATAAATTATCTCAAATTCTAAGTTTGGGAGAAAAAGAATATTAAAATTTTAGATATTAGAAATTATCTCAAATTTTAAGTTTGGGAGAGAAAGCATATTAAAATTTTAGAGATTAGAAAGTATACAAAATTTTAGATAGAGAAACTATCATAAAATTTTTAGACTGAAAAATTATCTCAAATTTTAAGTTATAGAGAGAGAAAATATCTTAAAACTCTAGATAGAGAAGCTATATCAAATTTTAAATAGAGAAAGTACTTGAAATATTTAGAGAGAGAAACAAATTAAAAATTTTAGATGGAGAAACTATCTCAAATTTTAAATTTTAGAGAGAAAGTTTATTAAAATTTTAAAGAGAGAAACTATTTGAAAATTTTAAAGAGAAAAAATCTTTGACAATTTTAGAAAGAGAAACTATCTCAAATTTTAAATTTTAGAGAGAAAATATCTTAGAACTTTAGAAAGAGAAACTATATCAAATTTTAGATAGAGAAAGTACCTAAGATGTTTTAGGGATAAAGTATATTAAAATTTTAGAGAGAGAGCTATATCATATTTTTGAGAGAGAAACTACCTAAAACTATTTAGAGAGAGAAACTATCTTAAAATTTTTATAGAGAGAAACTCTATCAAATTTTAAATTTTAGATAGAGAGAAAGTATCTCAAAATTTTAAAGAGAAAAATTATATCAAATTTTAGAGAGAAAAAGTGTATTAAATTTTTATAGAACCATCTCAAAAATTTTAGAGAGAGAAAGGATATGTATTTCTAAAAGAAAGATATTCCAAGCAATCCAAACATGAAATTTGTATCGCAATCCAAACATGAAATTTGTATTTCTTTGATTTCTACCCGATGCGATCCAAACAACATACACCCTATTTCAAGAAATGTCAATTCCAGGATTGAAAATTGAAAAATCCAGGAGCTAAACGGGCACTAAGTAAAAAATATCTACAAAGTAATTAATCCAAAAATAAGTATAACCTAGAAAATAAAAAAACAACTAAGTGGATAGATATTCACTTTGAGGTGGCTACCGCCTCACAAAAACAAGGTCAATTTGCTCACCCCCTACCCACCACCCAGGGCACTTTTTTATATTATAAATAAATAAAAAGGAAATAAGGAAAAATTAACAAAATTTCATTGAGAAAATAGACAGAATGGTTCTGTTGGAGGCGAAGAAGCATCCAGAAAAAAGGAAAAAGAAATCCACCTACCAGGATAAAATTACAGCAGAGTAGTGGGTTTGGCTAAAGCATCAGCTTGGAATTCCTTTCCCCATTGACATGTGAAAAAGCTACTTCCCTTTCCCTCCGTAGAATTTGAATCTCCTCCATGACTCCATTACCATGCCCAAGGGATGGTAGAGGGTACTTGTACCAATTGGTGGAGTCACCTTCCAATAATGTTGCTCGAGCTTTGAAACGCAAAATTTAAGTGCCATGAGTTCAGTCTCCTTCGCATATGACATGTTGGTCGCTGAATGGTCCAAATAATATGTCCCTACCTTCTCTTAGCTTGGGGTGACGATGGACACGAACCGGATCCAAATCCAAATCCAAATCCAAATCCAGGTAAGGGTCCAAACATAATGCCTCGTAGGTAGGGTCCACGTCCTAATCGCGGAAGGGAATACTATTTGGGTATGAGCCCGGCTCTATATGGATCCAACCTGAATAATATTAATATTTAAATAATATTCAAATAAATATAACTATGTATTTTAATTATTATATATATATATATATTTAATATAACATTTATATATATATATATATATATATATATATTAGTTTTGATTTTCGAGTGGGTGGGTCGTTGGTCTGGGTCGGGACACCGAGTCAGGTTGGCGAACTGTCGGCGCATAGGTAGGGTGCGTGGGAGTTTTCACTTAAACCGCGCGTGCTATTTTCACCCCTTCAAAAACCCCAGCGCGGTGCTCTTCTTCCCCTAAAGTGAGTGATTAGCTTTGTACCTGCACTTGCTGCTGACCTAGCTCAGAGAGAGCGCTTTGCATTTGATTTTTCGGCAGAGAGAGAGCTTTGTATTGGCCGTTGTAGTAGGGAGAGAGAGAGATTCTCGGATTAGCCGAGAGAGGTGAGGCCTTTATTGCTCATAGAAGACAACATCGAGGATCAGCCGAGTGAGTTGAATCTCTTTTTTTTCTCAAGGTAAAATTTCTCATCATTAATGCTTTTTTTTACTAATTTTTAATCATGTTAATCTGTAGAAATGGTTTATTGGTGGGCTATTTTGCTTTCTCATGATTAATTCCGCATCGTTCTTTTTTTTTTTTTTGGGATTTATTGGTTATATCTAAGTTTCTTATTTTTCGTTATTTTATTTCCATGTGTGTGAAAGATAATGGCTTTAATCATTATGGACTGTAGATAGACATAAATATCAACGTTTTTCTCACTCTATTTCCTATGGTTTCAATTTTCTGTATCTTCAGTTGATTTGGGGTTTTAAGGTTCGGATTTGAATTAAGGTGAGGGCCTCTTAGCCCTTTCCATCACATTGAGGTTCTGTTGATGCGCTTTCTCAAATTTTAGTTCCATGAAATAACCAAATGCCTTGAGTATTTCTTCCTGTCAATTGCTTTGTCCTCAGAAATCTGTACATTACCCACATTTGCCATGCTATTTATCTTACTCTTGCTGGAAGCACATGCTTCCTTTTGACAGTGAATTGCAGTTCATTATGTATTGCTTTATAGGAATTGTTTGCTTTTGTATAGGGTTCTGCCCCATCGTTAGTGTATTCATACATGCACGTGCCATAATATTGTCTTCTCTTTCTCGCTCACATTATCTCTTTGCTCAAGTGATTGCTTTCGTGTTACTATTTCAAAAGAGACAAACTTATCTTCTGTAATTTACTGATGTGGTGGCAAAATGGAATGATTAGCTTTGAAACTTTTAAATATGTTTGCTCTTGAAGGCTGCCTGTGCATTGAGTGAAATTTTGATATCAAGAAATCAATTCTGTTTCTTATTTATATAAATATTGGTAGTATCGGAGGGGTTTAGACTTTTATGAAATCTCCTAGCACAATAAAGTATTCGTTGAATTTATTTACATGTCTCAAGGTTGCCCGACTATCTCAGAAATAAAAGGCTCAGTGGTGGTTCCTTGATGCCCAAGCTTGTGGTATTATATTGGATAAATGTAAGGAGCTTTATTTAATTACAAAATGTTATTAAAAAATGCATTTCATACATCATATCAATGAAATACATAATAAATAGTATTACAAGCAGCTTTCAGCTTTGCCAAACAGGTAAAATTACCAGCACCATAGTTTATCAGACATGGTTTCCAGCTCACCCTACTATTTTCACCTGCATCCCAGAATCTAGGAAAGTCAGCAGCAGGGGTGATTCCCAAGGAGACTGTCGTGAAAGTTATCAAACTCTTTGTGGCATGCACCCAATAGATAATAAGTCTGAGAACAACTTGCCTTCTCTACAGTGAACCTCTAGCTTTATCTTCACCTTCACCTTCTTCATCCTAATCCTACACCTGAATTTTACATAGAGAATCTTTTACTAAAGAGAGGCTTTTACTAAATCTTGGAACCATAATCCTGATCGATCCAGTGGAAACCCTGGGCCTGAAGCATCAGATGACGTACCATATACATGGGAGAATTGAAGCAAGAGGGTGAAGATTACTTGGGAGAATCTAGTAGGGTAGTCCATCCAGGTCATGGAGGTCTATGAATGCTAGGGAAAAGGTGGATATGCGAAATAGAAAAGTTTCGACTTCAAAGTCTTTGCATTTTTGGTTTTCATTTTGTTTATTTTCTTCTTAAATATTTGGAATTTTCTTGTTTATTGGTGATTATGGAGATTCAATGGTAATTAATTGTTTTAGGTTTTGACGATGATCAGATTTTGCTTTATATTAGAGGATTCTAGTTTGTCTGTGTAGTAAGAAGATAATGGTGCCTCTAAAGTGGGTTTTTCTTGGAGAGACTCGATGGCCTATTTGTTCTTCTTAGAGAGAGAGAGCATGTGGAAAAGCTGTCCACCATCTGTTTCTCTCTCAGCAAAGCTCTCCACAATCTCTGTTTCTCTTTCAGATATGGAGAGAGAGAGAGAGAGAGAGAGAGAGAGAGAGAGAGAGAGAGAGAGAGAGAGAG